CCAAGAGCAGTAGTATTTTGGTAAAAATCCACTTCGTGGATCAATGTATCACGGACAAGCAAGTAAAAAAAAGATATTCAGTTTCCATTACATTCTTATTGCATTTTAAACAAAATCGTTGATTTCTCTCAATATTTCTAAATCTCCTTCTTGAATCATTAACTTATGAGCAGAACAGGGCTAATCTGAATTTACTATTTATTATACAATCAAGATACTTCTCTTTTCCAAACGTGCTTTTAATTAAACTAAAAATATCAAGTTTACCTAGAATTTTTAATTTCAGAAAACCATTGTTGATATTATTGATCGTTGAATAACAGACTTAAGAAAAATAGAATGAGGAATATCAAATAAATAAGAAAAACCTAAGTCTTGTAAGAGACATTTTACATCATTGATCCATTTATTAACATGGTAGTTATTATCTGTAATCATCATAAGTTTATACAAAAATGAATCTTGATCCTTAGCAATTCCAAAACTTTACAATACATTTGTACTAATCTTATGTAAAACAAGAAGGGAACTCTCCATAATTCACCACATACGGTAGCATTACATGTTTGTTGTCTAACACCTAAAACTTGCTTCATAAACTTTTTATGAACTCGCTCAATATCTGGTGACTTATGAAAGCCCCATATTTTTCAGACCCATAGTTAAGAATAGGCATTATCATAGAATCAAACAGTTTAATTTTTTTCAGAAACATTCAATGACAAGTTATCAAAAAGCGAGTTGAGTGCATATAAAGCCTTGAAGGCTTGCTCAGATAAACATTTTTGTGCTTGATTAAAGCTACCGTTTGAGGAAATTGTTACACCCAAGTAAACAAAGTTTTTAACAATATTAAGAATTTTATTATCGTAAAGAAAAAACATCATTTGAAGGTCTATTGCCCTTTTTACATATCATTACAACTGACTTGTCGGGGTTAACAGTTATTCCCCAGTTTTGACAATATAAATGTAGTTTGTCTAATAATATTTGTAATCCTTCTTTTGTATATGAGAACAACACAGTATCATCAGCAAACAATAAAAGAAATAATTTTAAATCTTCCATAGAGAAAAAATCTATATTGTCATCGTATAAAAAGTCATACATATCATTAATAAAAAATATAAACAACAGAGGAGATAATGGTTCTCCTTGTTTAACGCCTGTGTTACAATCGAAAAATTCACTTAAGGAGCCATTTACTCTTACACATGTTTTAACATTTTCATACATGACTTTTAACATATTTACAATTCTAGAAGACGCTCCGTGTTTTATTAGTTTTAACCATATACCATTCCTATAAACAACATCAAAAGCTTTACGAAAATCAATAAATGCACAATATAATGTTTTATTTTCATATTTATTACTTTATTTATTATTGAGTTAAGAGCAAAAATACAGTCTATAGTACTTTTATCTTTACGAAAACCAAATTGATAGTCGGACAGCAAATTATTACTTTCTGCCCACCCTCGTAGGCGAGAATCTAACATAATTGAAAATATTTTTGAAAAAACACTAGTTAAAGTAATGCCTCTATAATTATTTACATCACTAGAGTTTCCCTTTTTAGGCACGGGAACAATAATTCCTTTTGTCCAGGTTTCAGGATAAACACAATTTATATACATATAATTGAACAATTTACAAAGGGTTGGTGTAATTATATCTTTACACTCTAAAAAAATCTCACTTATTAAATTATCAACACCTCCGCTTTTCCCGCACTTTAATGATGAAATTGCTTTTTCAGTTTCTGATAATGTAAACTCTTTATCTAATTGTAAAATAACATTCTCTTCTAAACAAGCCTCAGCCAAATTACTCTCTGTTTCATCATTGCTAAATACATTGTCTACTGAAAAAAGGGTTTTAAAATGTTCAAAAAATTCCTCTTTGCTAATGTCACTCGCTGTTGATTTTTTATTTTTTATTTTACGTATTTCTTTCCAAATTCTTTTAGGCTGATGTTTCGCTAAATATGGTAGATTTTGTTTTTGATTTATATTGTATTTTGTATTTTGTACGAGCTTCTTTGAAACAAATTATAACAGTTGCTACATTGTGTTTTCAGAAGATTTGTTTTACCTAAAATATCGATTAGCTATTCTAAACTCCCGCCGTGCCACCTCGCAGTCATTGTTAAACCAGGGACTTTTATATTTTCTTTTATTTTCATGTTTCTTATTTTTTTCAATTGAACACTTCTTACCAAAAATATTAAATGCTTTGTCGTAAAGAATATTTGATATTTGAAATACACTATCATTAACACCGATTTCCTGCGATACAATATTGCTTACAATATTATCTATATTACATAATTCTGATAAAATAGCAGATTATAGATTCTATAGCATTGTCAATAGTTTGAGCTTCACATGTGACATGATTGTGACAATAAGACTTTCAAATCCATATCAATGAATTCCAATTTGTAATTTGTAAAATCAAATAAAACTCAAAATTCATATACACATATTTGTTTTTTATTCTATTTTTTTTTATATATTTAATTTCATTATATACTTATAAATGAAATATTGAGAAATATTGATAAAATAAAATGCGTATTTTCATTTTCCGTATTTTCACTGTAAAAATTTATTTTTCACTGCAGTGAAACATATTTTCCGTATTTTCACTGGTGTCTTGCCGGACTACTTTCTTTTAAATTCTGCCAGTACACAAAATTTAAGGGAAAGTTTTTCCAATTTTATCGCAAAAAAGAGAAAAATGTATATAATAAACAGAAAATTCAATTTTTTTCTATAAATACATGATTTTTTTCATCTTGTGGCATGAAAATTATCATACTTCACTCGTGGCTACCGCCACTCATGAAATATTTATTTTCATACCACTCGATGAAAATAAATTATGTATTTTTAGAAAAAACTTGAATATCCTCTATATATTTAAATGAGTACTATATAAATGTATGTATATATAACGTCTTTCTAATAATGAATAGAGATAGCTACGGGATAAGTTTGTTGATGTGGCCCATATATAGCTAAAGTATTTTACTACAATGAACATGCGGTGTTAGATTGCTACAGTATTTTCCGTATTACAGATTTTTGTAAAATATTCATTGACTTTTTCATGGAATGGCTCTAATGATGACCGCCGTATGAAAACATCTGCGGAAGTTTCAAAATCAAAATTTATACCACCTCATGCTAAATGATGAATTCTGCCATAATTGCATTAACACCTACAAAACCCTCGAACGTTATTAAATCTTCCGCCATGAGAGCTATGTCCTTCAGACCGTCCTTATGCCCCTGCAGACGTATTTATCAAAATACAAATTACAAATTTATAAAATTAAAAAAAAATGACGGTGCTTTAGGGCGTGGACAGTAACTCTGTCAACCAAATCGTGTCTGTTTGCAGTTTTGTATGTGCTTTGATTTCTCTATTTCATTATCATCTAGTTGTAGATAGCTGAATAATATTGTTTTTTTTGTATTCCAAGTGGTACATAAATATTAAATGATCCACGTCACTAGGTAAATAATAGTATTATAATAATACTTTTTTTATAATTTCTTAACCCTAAATTTATAGCTGTTTGTCGAACTCGAGTAATTTAACAATATATGGTCAATGCACCTTGTTCGTACATTAACGTCTGAAAAGGGCATGGGGGCCCGGTCGAAACCCTTTAGTTAAGGTGGAGGGGGGTTTTTTGGGGGTTTTTAAATGAACAAAGAAAGGTGCATAAGGATTATTGTTTTTGGATTTTAAAAATTCATTTAAAAGGGTACTTTTAGCAAATTTTACGGGGAAAAGAAAACTTAGGCCTTAAAGGCCATGTTTCCTCAGAAAAAGGGAAATATTTCTTATTTTTCAGAAGAGAAAAAACAATTTGGTTTAAAAATGTTTTCTAAGGGAAAATTTAGAATGTTAGTTTGCCCATTATATGTAAAAAAATTAGAAAAATCTAAAAATAATGGTATTTGACTTCCATACAAAAATACTAAATCACTATATTCTATATACAAGAACCAAAGAACAGAAGAAATAAAAAATCGTCCAGTTTTATGGCCAATGTTTTATTTATTTATTTTTCTAATTTTTGAGATATAAAAATAATACATGTTATGTCGTATTAGGCCTTTAAAGAAAAGGACTGACATTTTTGAGAGACGACAATTTTATTGTCGCGGTTTGTCATGTCATAATTTCGATATGTGTCTTTTATTACCAATTTTTATAGATCATTTTTTTACAATCTTGTTGCTAAACTACACATACATCAGGTCATTATGTTCTCAGGTTTTATTGGTAAATAGTTTATTTTCACGAGAAAAACCCCCTTTTAAAAACAGGGGGGGCCCGAATTTGAATGATTTCTTTTATTGACATGTCTAATTATAGCTGGATCTTTTTTATTTTTTTTTTTTTTAACCAAAACCCTTTTTTTCCCGTAAAAGTTACCCATTGTCAAATACTGTCTTTTTCAGGGGACAGGGATCCCAAAATCTATTTTTATAGTCGTTTTTAAGTGTTTTTAAACATTTTTCCATATTTTTTAAAATCTGTTTTTTTAAATCACTTTTAACATTTTAAAACAATGAGGGCCCCTTAAATAAATTTGGCTCAGAGTTTTTAAAGGGTTTAAAGACGAAAATTATATTTTCCGTTCGGGCCCCACACCAGTTTTAACAGGTTGGGAAATAAAGTTTGACGTCAAAAAGTGTGCTTAATAATAAATTATTCATCGAATGTAGATGGGAAGTTATTGTTTTACTGCAATCTTTGTATCGGGATTAACTAACAGTTTACGTCAGTAGGCCCATTTTAGAGTAATAATATTTTTAGTTACATTTTCTAAACCCAAAATCAATAGCTGAGTCGTCGAACTCTAGTAGCGGACAATAGTTATTGATTATGAAAAAGGCCAAGGTATGCGTACTACTTCATTTCTTACCTTGTAGTGCGGGCTGTGAACAAATTAAACCTTATAAATATTAAATGATGGAATATTGATACACAAACTGTGTTAAATCTATTTGCTAATAACTCACTGATTTAAACATTCATTTCCTTATTATGTTAAATGTTGGAGTAAATAAACTATATAATATTTAAAACTCGTAATATTTTAACGTAACACCTTTAGACATGTGTATAATCAAGTGCCGGCGGCGACGTTAGACTACGTCAACAGCGTACTAAGCACGTGAACGTTACTGCAGCGGTTTCCTTTATTTAACACGCTGACCTTTGTCTACGGTAAATATGAAACATTTAAAAGGCTCGTAAATTAAAAATTTCGACAGTTTGTGATGTAAATGTAATTTGTCATATAGTTGTCTTACTTTCTCGCCAATTATTTAGTGATTCGGGTTAAGTGAAGAGGATTAAATAGTGTCACAGAGTTTGGAGCATAAGCTGGTAATATGTTTAATAATTTCTAAACTGTAACATTTTCTTTGACCGTTTCAGGTGATATATTAAAACAACTGCATAAAACAGAATGCTTGTGACTGTGTGGTTTTAGAATATAGGCTAACTTAAAAATAACTATACAGTCGAAATGGTAAATTCATGTTAAGATTCAAATAGCAGACGACTTCATTTACGTTTGAAAAGTGAACATTTCAAAAATTAGGTTTAACTCAGTTTAAATGAGATAATGACTGGGACAAGATAAGGTCGATGTACTTTTATTATCCAACAAAATTCAAACAAACAGTTGCGTTCTCATAATAAAAACGTCTGTTTATAGCTGTACTGTTGTGGATTTATATTGTTTGATTATATTTCATGCACTTCTTACATCTCAATGAGATATGTCGTGTTGGTAACGTGGATAATAATAGGACAAATTTATTTATGCAATAGTTATAACCAAAGATAAAACTTTTCACAGGAAAACATGGCATCCAATCGGTTAAGTATACAACCGGTGTGGGGAGTAAAAGACCGGAAGTTAAGTAATGGAGTTTTAGACACAGCTGAAAATCTGATGGAGAATATTGATGAACTTGCAGAAGTGTTAGATAATCTTAAAGACAAGTATGATAAGGTAAATTATTGATCTACATTCTTAATTAATGAATCTATAAATCAATGAACTGCAATGTGACGCCATTTGCATTTGAGTATATTTGACTGGCAGAATATATATACTTAAGGTAAAAAACAGAACATGATATAATTATATAAATATTAAACTGAAGTAAACAGGACTTTTTAATTTTTTTGAATATTTTAACTACCTGATGAATTACAAATCAATTCATTTTGATTAATTTGAAACGAAGAGGTTGTAATCTGCAAAAAGTAACAATGTTTAGAGAGTAAAACATAACAGAAGAAACTCTGTGTATTAGTCAACAGCAAAATAATGATTTTAGTAGCCCCATTTCTTTTCGCACATTGTCATTACACCAATAGAGGCGTTCAAAGTGACATCATACGTGCATATATTAGCAAACCATTATATTCAGTTGCATTTATAATGTGACATTTTTATTGATTTAACCTTGCAGTAAGTTGGAAATAACTTCACATGTAAATATTATGCTATAATACATGTAGAAGAACAGTTAGCTCCAGGATGTATTTATAAACACGAAACAATTTATTACTAAAAACAAACTTTTTGCTAAAATATATTTAGACACGATCGAGTAAACTGAAATAGTATATTTGATACATGACTGGTAGATACCCGATATAGTTATATGATATACTCAAATTACATAATGCACATACAGAAACTGGTTAACTTTAGTAAACTTTAAACTACATTAAAATTTTTAATTTAATTAATGTATATCATACATTTTTTTACTTTCTTACATTGCGTGTATATTGAAATCATTTAGTTTTCTTGTACAAGGAAAGTTATCCCTAACAGAATGAAAAAAGGATATTGATGAATTACAAAGTTTATACAGAATGAAAAAGCTTTACAAAGTTAGCAATAGAGATAGCTCCATAGATTTGTTGTTACCAAGCATTTCTTTACAAGTACTTGTTATTTTATACGTTGCTATCCTATACACATTATCTGTATGGGTGGATGACAAAAATGCTGTCATTGTTTAGATTTATTTGGAAAGGTTTGGTTTCAAAAAATTCAGTGCATCAAATTGAGTTTTATAATCAGTACAATATTGATCTCAAATATACCATGCACGCGCTAAGTTCATAATTATAAATATCAAAGCATCTCTACTGTTTCTTTTTATATCATTTGATAGATTTCCAATCTCTGGAGTAACTTCGATTATAATGCATAATTTACATCATAATTATCTAATATCGATTGGATATCACCTGATAGCTGGTAAACACTCCCTATTGAGACATACAGACAATCGTGGCAGGTCTGAGCAGAACTAGGTCTTCACGGTTACAACTGCATGATTCTATAGCAATATTTTAAAGTCTTTTTGTGTAGCATGTTGAATATAGAACCTAGTCAGCTGACTAAATTTGATGAGATTTTATCAAATGCTTGATCATTTGCTGATTTACAAAACCTTTATTCAAGCTGTATTTTTTTACAGTAGCAGTAAGGTTTATAACACTAAGGTGTACAATATATGAGCCGCGTCACAACAAAACCAACATAGTGTGTTTGCGACCAGCATGGATCCAGACCAGCCTGCGCATCTGCGCAGTCTGATCAGGATCCATGCTGTTCGCTGTCAGTTTATCCACTTGTAATAGAGTTGGTAAGCGAACAGCATGGATCCAGACCAGACTGCGCGGATGCGCAGGCTGGTCTGGATCCATGCTGGTCGCAAACACACTATGTTGGTTTTGTCGTGACGCGGCTCATATGTGTTTTCTCGTTTATAAACATGTATTGTATGTACTACAGGAGAAACACATGCTGGCAGACAAAATACCGGAAGACTCTACCGTAACAAACCAGACAAACATAAGAGAAACACATGAACTTAACATGTTCCGTAAGCTGAAAACATGTCTCGACTCAACAAGGTACGTCTTTACATGTCCTACACTCCATTGTTTTACCATATTGTTTTATTTCTCGTACTGTCAAGATATGCTGTCACATTGATTCAGAATAGTTTATAGGAGGTATAAAAAACACTTAAGCGATCAAGGGATACTAAAATAACTTCTTGTTTTTTTTAAAAAATCCATGTGTGTCTGTTTGTGATGACCTTGTCAAATCAAATGAGGTAATGAGCATTTTTCTCTGTGTTTGGGAGTTTATTATTGTGTCATTGAAGATTTGCTCTATGTCAAGACTGTTTTTAATGATACAGATTTAGACACTTAGACGAAGACGAAATGGTTATTTTGGCATAAATGTTGTTTTACTTTGATCTAATTTGTTGAAATATCCCTATCAGAAGTGTTTAATCTAATCAGATGTGGTTCCGCAAGTTATTAGATCTAAGGGTCATCAGACACAACTATATGATCAAAGGCACAGTTTACAATCATTACTGATGCTTGTGTTATTGTAGTCTCAATTAACTATGTTCTGTTTTCTGGTATGTTGATATAAAGCTTGAAGTCGATCTGATATATTATTTATAAAGCGACATGTAACACTTTATTTTTAGATTCCTTATCGGAAGTCTAAGACGAGAAAAGGACAGACTTATGAAACGAGAACTTAGTGTGGAATGTAAACTCGGGGAGGTTGAAGATTATAAAACTCACGTGAAACAAGATTTAGTGAGTAATCTCCCTTATAAATTGTTAATTTTCATATAATTTATGTACTTTTAGTTTTTGAACTTACTAGCTTTAATAGTCAAAATGATAAGATCTTTCTAATACAAGACCTTGCTTATTTAATCAAACTTTTTGAATATAAAAAATGTATATGTTATGGCAATATTAATACGACTTGAAAGTTTATCAGAGATTGTAATGCGATTGAGAGTTGTAGTAAACCATTAGAATATATATCATAATAATCTATAATGTTCCAACAGACGTCCCTGAACGAGCTTGTTGACACGTTAACTACCAAAGTATGTAATCAAGAGGTGCAGATATGTGAAGAACAAGAGAAATACGAAAGTCTTAAATATGAGAGGGATAACCTTAAAGAAAGATTGAAAAGGGCCGAAAACCTGTGTAAAGGTAAGAAAAATTAAAAGGTAATATGTATAGTATGCAGAAATGTCAGGTGTTGTTCAAGCTATATATAAATACCATTACTTATGTTATACATAAATATTTTTGAAATTTTAAAAGTTCGATAAAAGTTAGTTTAATGCTTACATGTTTATATTTTACATAGTAACAAAATGTCCATGTTTGTCTTTGTGAACGAGTGTTACTACAGGCTATTTTCCTTTTCTTGACCGTAAAGGTCAAATACCCACTTTCCGACATTACTAGTCTAAGAAGGCCCTATACATTAATTTAGATCTGAGCGGACACCTGGATAGAATTCTGATGGTTCGCATTGTGGTGAGGGGCTAGTGGTTCAATGTTAGTGAACTTTACCACTCAGTTACAGAGTCCGTCGATTTTAACTTTCATCTTTGGCAAAAAATCTTTTACGAATTTCTAATAAAATCATTAGAAACTATTAAAAAATTCCCATCATACCCTTTTACTTAAAGTATTGTTTTACTTCTATTGTAGATCTGAATAGTGACAATGATAAACTACGAGAGGAGAATAAAAATCTTGCGAAAGAAAGAACCGATGTGTTACTACGACTTGAAAACAAAGAAATGAGATATGAAAACGAAGTGTTGGTTGTTGAAAACGCGAAACTTAAAGAAATGTTACGAGATCGTCTTGACAGTAGTGACGGTGATTTAGGTGTCTCGAAACTGAATAAAACCGACAGTAAAACTCCCCTAACGTACTTACCGGACCTGATTGAAGATAGGAGTAATAATAATGATACAATATTGATAAATGAGGAGACAGTCTGTGTTCGTTTATAGTATACAGTGTATATTCTACAATCATCAAATTGTGATAATTATGATGAGGGACTTGCGGACATTTTTCGTGTACATTGGTCTATAATTTTCAATCATACTTATTGATGAAATTTAAAAATTAAGGTCAAACGATAAGGAAAACATAATAATTATCACGTGGCTCTAGCGTGTTTATTTGGGCTGAATGACCTCAGACCAACTTTTCTTTGTTCTATTTTAATACTGGTACAATTACTTGATCGCTACATGATACTTAATAAGTATTAATAACTATAAAATCTTTAGCAAAGAAACACTTATTTGGTGACTTTAAGCCATTTAGTACCACACTATTTTTGCATGTAAAACAGATGATTACGCGTCAAGAAATGCTATGTAAATTTCAAGAAAGAGAGGGGCGGGAAGAGGGGGACACAAATCACGTTTATATAATTTGATCAATGGACTGTTTCATTTAATACATGTGTTTATCAGGGATTAGTAACATCTGTGACATCATAAAAAGGAATTTTTTAATTTCTTCTTACAAAACGCTGTTTAATTGGGAATAACTGAAGGGTATCAAATATAAACTATTATTGTTTGTACATTATACTGTACAGAAATATAAAAATGAATCTTTTCATCCATAACTGACATTGCATTAATATTTTTTGCGTTAAAAGAGTGTATGTAAAACTATGCTATAAAAATGAACATGCAAGGTTATGGTGTTTCAAGTACACAATATTATGTTGTTTAATATGTTATATGTCAGTGATCTTGTACAAGTTGTTTGTTTATTTTATAATCATATTTTTCAAATAAATAGGAAAAAAGTTATTATAATTGGCATGTCGGGGGCAAGTGGGCTTAATAATACGCACTTCATTTTATGCTTATTTTTATAACTCTACCTTTTTCCCCAATACGGTGTTAAACGGGTGATATTCGTTATCCATTAATTCATTTCCGTTAAATACATGACACTACTGATTTATTTTGCATATTTAATTATTCGGTGTACGTTTACGATAATTACTTAAGTGTAATTTATGTATGGCGGAAAATATCTTCAATATATAATATGGCGTTGATAATCTTAGCGCACAGTGAATACGGAGAAGTCAATTCATCGATACCTTTGTTGTCTAATTGTCAATAACTGTTTTATTCGAAATAAATCATTGTGAAACCGAAGTGCTTTAAGTAACCAATGTACAAGAGGATGAATATCAATTATATGTGCAAAATGAAGTATTATCATAACATAATAATTGCATGTAAGCACATCTGCGTATAATTCTTATTTCTAACATTAAACAAAATATTGATGTTTTCTCAAGTCGGCGCCAGGGGCGTAAACAGTATCGTGCATTTACCACTGGTGGCCGCCCATGAAGATACCAAACCAGACCCAGCTTACAACATTTTTAATTTCGATATGTTAGTCTACAATTAATGCTTCTTATAGTCTATTTCAAGTTATTACCTAACATGATCACATATTTTCGGACAAGGGAATATCTACTGAAGATAGCAGACAATTTCAGGGTAAATCTTTGAAATGAAATAAAACTATTATTTCATTTTAGTCAAACATTTATCATTACATGAAATTTTAACATCAACAAAGTATGATACTACTTTATTCACTTCCAGTTTCAACTATTGTTCTTTTGTATACAAATCAATAATGATATTTTGACGATCTTGATATTTAATGTTGCTGAAGTCAGTTGTGTATGATATGAATCTCATTCCCCTTAACCACTCTGCCAAAGACTCCATGTAAGTGCTACTTTTATATTATTCAAAGTGAATTAGTCTACAATGGAAGGTCTGCGATACAATAAATAATAACCTTCGTAGAATAAGACCACGAAAAAATACACTGAAGTTGTGTTAGCTAGTCGCAGATATTAAAATGTCGTAGAACATGTAATCATTCATCATAATTGAGCCGCGTCATGACAAAACCAACATAATGCGTTTGCGACAGCATGGATCCAGACCAGCCTGCGCATCCGCGCAGTCTGATCAGGATCCATGCTGTTCGCTATCAGTTTCTCTACTTGTAATAGAGTTGGTAAGCGAACAGTATGGATCCTAATCAGACTGCGCGGTTGCAACCCATTATGTTGGTTTTGTCATGGCGCGGCTCATATAAATGTTCATTCAAAATAACTTTAAATTTTATCAACGTTTCTTTCCAGCACTATTTTACAAGAATATCCAACTAATAGATATACATGTATTTTTATTATTTTTATTTTTTTTATCAATGCTTGAAATATTTTTACGAATATGTGCCCATTTCAGACCAATCCAGTTTAAATAGTTCCTAAACTTTCAAGGCAATCGCTGTCCGAGCTATTGTTGAAAGGATGCAATGTAAATAAATTAGAAAATACTGTTTGGACAATGACTGTGGTCAAGTTATCAACATTCATCTATCCATGACTTTCGAAAGATTTGCTTAAGACGATATCAGGGTAGGGTCACGTTCTAATTTATTGATTAAATAAACAATGGAATATTTAAAAGTGAGTGGATAAAATAAATAATATCATGGGATTTTCATTGTTCTTTGGCGATTAAAAGATAATACTTTTGATAAAGATTATTAAGGATTGTTGCAGATGAAACAGCTCTATTAATAAAAAGACTGCATAGAAATACCGATTCTTTTGATAAAAATATAGATTTTAATGTCAAAGTAAGAGGTGTAGATCAGTTATTTGTATTATTATACTGGTCATACTATTAGTGTTCAAACATGGAAGAGAACGGATCTCCATTTACAGACAATATTACAACGAGAAGAAAACATCGTGAAGCAGACGATGAAAATAAAGCATTATTACCGGATAAACAAGACAACGATGACGACTCGGGTTATCGAAAATTTCGTGGTTTAGACATAAAGACAACGTGGCTACATTGGTTAATTGGGCCTATTGTGTTTGCGTATATGTTTGCTATGTTATGTTCATATTACGCTCTTGTTGAATACACGAATCAGTACTTCATGAAAAGTGAGTACAAGAAAGCAAATTTGTCTCTAGACAATACAACAGATGCGTTCTGTAAAGTAGACAAAGATAACATTGTATATCAAACTGAAGCGAAGGCAACATCTCAAGCATCAACGTGGAATGTATATTATTCTGTCGCCTCAGGTGTTCCTGCCGTCATTTCTAACATGGTGTTAGGTTCATATACTGACGCCTTCGGTCGTAAGTTCTTGCTAGCTGTGGGAATAATAGGCACCTGTCTTAGACTAAGTATAGCTGCAGTAACTATCTATCTAGAGGCAGATTTGATATATATACTCATTGCTTGCTTTGTCGAAGGTTGCACGGGTCAATATGCTACAACCCTACAAGTCTCACTTGCTTACATCGCTGATATAACAAAACCAGGACGAGCAAGAATCCTAGGAATTATATTCATAGAGTTTGTGATAGGTGTAGGCCTATCTGCTGCTAGCCTTGCGGAAGGATACATGGTTGAGTGGAAAGGCTACATGTTTACATTTGCTTCAATGGCAGGAGTTCTTATCCTTACATTGATCTTAATGATCTGCTTTCTTCCAGAAACACTCTCCAAAGAACATCGCCATAGAAATAAATCTTGTATAGGCTTATTAAAGATCAGTATTTCATTCTTTGTTGATAATGACTCTGAGAACAGGCGATGGAAATATCAGCTCGTCTTGTTGATCCATGCTTTATGTAACATAAGTTTCCTGTCCAGACTACCAACTGAGACACTGTACCAACTAGCGTCTCCTTTCTGTTGGTCACCAACAAAGATTGGTATATATGCTGCTATACGAACATTAGTGATCATGTTTGTCGGGTTAGGATCGGTGCATATATTCTCGCTGTTCATTGACGAGATTTGGATCTGCATGATAGGAACTGCATCTTACGCAGCAGCGTTCTTCTGGACGGCGTTCGTAAACAGCGATTTGGTTTATTATATAAGTATGTACCCGTTTTAGCTAACAGTCTAACAGTTTTCATTGGGAAATGTTTTAAAAGAAGTAAAGCATAATTTGCGCATTCAACGTTCAATAAAAGTATTTTGAAAAATAATTATGCATGTAAAAAAGTTTGAAATATGTAATAGATTATCTATCAAAGTTAACGTTAATCATAATAACAGATTGATGGAGACGCTTAAATGAAATCTTAACACAAATTAAATTAAATTAATTTTATCAGTAAAAGTAAGATTATTAGAAAAGTGGGACAATGTCAATGCCTTAAAGATATAAACACCATAAAGGGCCATTTACAGCTACTAGTATAAGGGTATTTAATCACATATACATGTAGTAGTAATAGAACAGAATCTTATGATATACTTGTCTTATTCAAACCGTTATTTTACAGTTATAGCTGTTGGATGTTTTGGCCCGTTATCGACCACAATGCAGCGTAGTATTCTCTCTCATTTAACACCACCTGAAAAACAAGGTAGATCTTATTATTAGTAATGTATTTCACGTAATGTTACCATGGAGGTAATCGGCACATTCAATAGTGCCATGCTTATACATTACATTATGTGTTTCTTATTTTATATTTAGTTTTATATGTATGATAAAATATTATTAAATGTAATCATTATAAGGTCATTAATTTTTTTCAAATTGACTAAGCAAATCTCTAAATAAATTGTTCATAATAAGCATGTTTTTTTTAAATCTCCTCACCACGTACTGTACACATACTGACCCAGAGGAGGGTCTGATTGAAATGCTGATGGACCTTTTTTCCGGTTGATAAATATTGAACTAAACTTGATCTTATGTTACTTTGGTTTCAGGAGCGATATTTAGTGCTGTAGGAACATTAGAGGTTGTGACGTCACTATTAGCAAACGTAATGACAAGTTGGATTTACGCAGCCACCGTTACATACATGCGCGGCTTAGTCTTTCTTACAGTTGGTGGCTTTGATGGAATCTGCATTGTTCTGCTAATGTACATAGTTTTCTCTTATCATTTTTTATCACATGTCCGTGTCGCTTTTGCGGCTCTGTAAAAATGATATGGCACGGTCGTGCATATATTTTAACGTGACGTCATTTTTATTATATAAACATAGCGTTAAGACACGCTAAATATTCGCATTTACTATAGACGTGCTAATGAAAATAAAATGGTTCTTTTCTACTTTAAACGAATTTTATTTTAAGTATGTGATAAATTTAATATTAAATTCGTATAAGTTTATTATTAAATTCATTGAACCTGTTGAATAAAATAATATTAAGCTCGACAGAGGCTTGCATATTATAATTTTATTCAACTCGTTCAATAAATTCAGTATTAAACTTACACTCATTCAATATCCTCTATATATTGCACAGAATAAATGGAATATTAGTATTTGGTGAAGATGAACTTAATGTTAATTTACTGAAAACAATCGGACGAGAATTGTATGTATTTTTAACGGAAGTCAGTTAAAAAATTGATCGATATCTGAAACCATGACAACAGTTAGTTTTTTAAATGATTAGTGGTAATTCTAACCATAACGACCTTGCAAAGTTATGTGTTTGTTATATCAAGACTAAACTGATGCAAATTTAAGTACATGTGTACACTGTACTTTATAAATGATTCTAATAATTGTCATAACATTCTATTTATGAAAGATTTAAAAAAAAGCCAATACATTTTCCCTCTTTTCTTTTTTTTTTACTTTAACTTTTCTACTCTTTTTCATTTATGAAAGATTTAAAAAAGCTATGACATAAGTAAAATTCAAGTAAGAGAAAACATTCACTAAAAAGAAATAATGATATGATTTCATATTATGTAAAAAATGTGAAATGATTGTATGTGAAATTTATAAACATGTAGGTCATAAAGGTATAATAAATAATAACAATAAAAAAAAATTGTCATAACACAAAACTAATGTTAGTTTTTTACATAGTCTTACCATCCATTATTTTTCTCTATATTTCTTTTCTTTTTACAGAGTATTGAAGATAGGATGGGAAGTTGAAAAGAGAAGAAATAAATACAAAAAACTTCCACAAGTTGAGATTATTGTTCCAGAATAATTGATATGTGAGATTGGACACTACACTGAGATTATGATGATAAGATAACTGTGAACTATTTAATATGTGAATATAAGATATATGTAAAATAAGGGAGGTAAATATGTAACTTTGCTTATAAACTTTGGCAATATGTACTATAGAGTTATCCCTCTTATTGTTAAAAATAAAAGTCTCATTATTCTTTTAAAGTGGATTGATCTCCAATAGTCACATTTTCTATATGTATTTTAAATCTCGATAAAACCGTAGAAATTCATCATTTGTATATTCTTTTGGATTAATTTATATGTGTGTATATGTATATATGAGACTTTAATAAATAAAGAAATCGATCCATTTGAAACGAGTATATGAAAATAGCCGTAATTGCTGTTCAATTTGAAATAAAAAAAATAATAAAGAATATGTTTCATATGTTATAAATGGTTAATTTGAGGTCACGAATATAAGTGCAAACTTCAATGGAATCACGCGGAATATTTAACCACCATCACAAGTTTATAACCATGCATATAAACCCTCGTGTTTAAAGTTGTATACGGAGAACTATTTCATTAGTAACATTAGTAACTGGAGTTGGAGCAGCTAGTTGTGTGTAAGATTCCCTGAATTACGGAATATTGTATATATTCTTCTTTACTTTGATTATGTGGATTGTCAAGCGTGTACCAATGCATTGGAACGTGTCATTAAATTTAGAAAATTGCCAGCCCATTTATCGTATCAATCAAACTGAACAATGCCATGTCAGTTTCATCAGCGAAATAATTGTATATTTCTGATACAATGAAATAGCCATTAATATCAACTGCTTTATTTGTATGTTTGTATTTTCAGTCCTGCTGTATTTAATGAATTATAAACATAATGCTTATTTATAGATTATGTATCGTGTAATCGGGATATGATTCCGAAATTGATGTACAAAGCATTCTGATAAATCATTACGAACATGTCAGCACTGTTCATATGTAAATAAAACACGTGATGTCAGATTCCTGGTACAATTATTGGTTAGCTTCAGCATTGCCTTAAGCGTAACCGTACTTTCACAGTATAAAACGACCACCATTACGGTCGTAATGGAATTTTTGTGTCGTAACACTTTTCATTTTAATTTCCACTACCAGTCATTCGTAAAGGTAGTTTTTTCCGGCGCTTTTCAGGGTATGCATTGCAGAGCTGACCATTTTTTCGCAGTCATTTTACGCATGCGTAAAAGCATCGCTTGTTTGCATATTTTGTACCGTCAACTGACGAAGAATTGTCCGTGAACGTCTACTGTGAAAGTCCAATATATATCTACGTATGGGCAGAGCATTCTCGAGGAGATACGTCGGTGTTATATAGCAACAAGTTGTGTGATAAAAACCGTAATAACCAATGCCATAACTTTTGAATCAAACAGTTGTCACTCTCAAACATTTTTTGTTAAATTACTCCCTTTTAATGTTTATTTTAAACAAAGACATTTCATCTCTTTGCTGTCCATCTTTGCATTTGATATAAATCACTAAGAACTTACTTTTTCTTATCCTCACTGATTCAGTTTAGTTAAAATGATAAGATATCATGATATGTAGTCAAGTATTAATTTTTTTTATCAATATTTGATTAAAGATGATAGGCTGTTTGATCTCAGTTTAATTGATTAAGCAAATAATTTTTAATCGTAAGGATTCTTGTTCTTTCAAAATCTTACTCAATCATACGTCTTTTTAATCACCTCAAGAATCCATACCGCGCGCAAAGGAGAGATAGACAGACAGAGGTACATACAGACAGACAGACAGACAGACGGTGGTGAACCATAATCTTCATGAAGCACTTGCAAGCTTTAAAAAATCCAAGTAACAAAACTATAATAAAATGTACAACCAATTTCAGTTTCATAAATTTTAGTATTCAAATTTGCCATTGAAAAATCTAAAACAGTTAAATGTTAATATATATATAAGAATTTCTCAAGTTATAGTATCTGCGAAAATAAAATGCTTGCAAATATATGTGTTTCTACAGTAAACAAAAAAATGTTGAACTTACCCCGGTATCAGCGATTGGATTACAGGGTAACTATTGTACATATCATTTCTTGGGGTCAAAATATAGTACATGGAGTCCTAGATTATACCGGGTATAGGATGTCTACAAACTCGTGTCTTTCTCGCATGAATCACAAGTTAAATTTGTTCTACCTGTTTGATTTACATGGCCATTCTTTTGGAACGAACAAGAACAACTTGTCTATCAACCACGTCGTATCTTTTAAACTGAACTAATTACCCACGTTAAATAAACAACTATAATATGATTTATATAGATATCTACCGGATGTGTGGTAATTCAACTAATAACAAATGGATATAATTTTTAAAATTAAACATGGATAAATCTAAATGTAAGGACTCGAACTCGGACAGAGTGTCGGAGGAGAATCTCACCAGTGAGCTAGATATATCAGAACGAGAACCATTGATACATAAATATGAAGATAGTTATGATATTGGTTATCGTAAATACAAGAAGTTAGACATAACTACCTCATGGCGACATTTTCTCATAGGGCCAGTGATGTTTGTGTATATATTTGCAATGATAAGTTCATACTATGCTCTGGTAGAATACACGAAGGAATATTTCATCAAGGTTGAATTTGATAAAGCTAATTTGTCTTTAGACAACAGTTCGTATGACCGCTGTAGTGCTGATGCAGACGACATTGTATATAAGGCAGAAACAAAAGCCACCTCCACAGCGGCTACATGGAACCTGTATTATGCGGTCGCTGCTGGAGTACCTTCTATGATATCAAATATGGTGCTAGGGTCATACACAGATGCCCTCGGTAGAAAATTCTTAATAGCAGTAGGAATCACTGGAACATGTATCCGCTTAGCTATAGCTGCCATAACAGTTCACTTTGAAGCCAACATTGCTTTTTTACTTATTGCTTGTTTTGTGGAAGGATGTACAGGTCAATATGCTACAGCATTACAAGCGTCATTTGCATACGCAGCCGACATTACCAAGCCGGGAAAATCTCGAATCTTAGGAATTGTTCTTATTGAATTTTGTTTAGGGGTCGGTATGTCGTCTGCTAGTTTTGTTGAAGGTTATTTAGTAGAATGGAAAGGGTACATGGTCACATTTAGTGCTATGGCTGTAGTTCTAGTCATGACCTTTTTATTTTTAATCTTTTTATTACCAGAAACTCTCACTAAAACGCACAGACATAGAGACAAATCATGTATTGGTTTGCTTAAAATAAGTTTTTCTCCATTTTTAAAAAACGATTCTGAAAATAAACGCTGGAAATATCAGCTAGTGGTATTGATGCATGTATTAGTAAGTATTAGTTATAGTGCCCGACTGCCAACTGAAACCCTTTATCAACTTGCCCCGCCATTTTGCTGGAGTGTAACCAAAGTAGGGGTCTACGCTGCAGTAAGGACGCTGGCGTTCATGTTTATTGGACTAACGTCTGTGAAGTTGTTCCAACTGTTTCTAGACGAGATCTGGATATGCCTGATAGGCACCGCCTCTTATACTGCCGCCTTTCTCTGGACAGCGTTTGTCGCGGATGATACAACATATTATTGTAGTAAGCAAACTCTTTATTAGATATATACGAAAGCATGGAAATATCGATATCAATTTCTAATCCAATCCGATTTAACAGAGGAAACTATTATACATTTTGAAACATGCGAGCAAAGCAATCAACTTACTAGAAAATTTATTTTAGATTTTTGTCTTCAACTTTTAACTGGTTACAACACGTCAGTTGATAGACGATTATGTGCTTGTATAAGTTATCATACATGTATAATATAGATTATTGTTATTGACTTGATTGTACATATAGAAAGTACATTGACATTATACTTTATCTAATCAGACAATGACTTACAGTTGTCAATATTACAGTTAGGTTGTAGACCGCTAAATATTCTTTTCTGTCTAAAATTTTATCCACATTTCTGTGATACATTGTATATCTACAGTTACGCAATGTATATTTCTGAAACGTTTTTGTTTTAAATCTGCGCCTATTAATGTAAGTCTGTGCTGGTTAATGAATTAAAAATAGAAAATATAGTGGTGAATATCAAGATGTTCTAAATATATCCAAACTATAAACACTGATAATTACGAAACTATGTTGTTATTGAGAAAGATTTATGAAAACTTTATTTATACTTTCAGTTATAGCTGTTGGTTGTTTTGGACCACTTTCTGTGACGATGCATCGAAGTATCCTTTCACATTTAACACCACCTGAAAAACAAGGTATTTACTGTTATAAGCAAATCATTATCTGACTTTAAAATATCAAAATCACAATTTATGAAAGGAACTCCACTGAGGTCCAAAAGTATAAAAACATAAAATTTTAATTCATTTACATAGATCAGCTGGAGCACTAAGACAGAAAGATTTGCAAAAGATAATAAAGAAATATGCTCCGATTAAATAGAAATTTATGTATTTGTGCTATTCTTATCACGGTTTGTGTGGAAAGTGTTGCTGTGCGTTTCGTTTTTTTTTGGTCATTTTACACAATACGAATACTTATTCTGGAAAAAACGGAATGAAGGAACGATCTGAAATTTTGCACAGAAGTTACTCGTCTGGACTTGCATCAACTGGAGCATTAATCTTAAAAATTATTTCCAGTACCGTCATGTCAAACCAACCAAACGAAAGTGGAGTCCCTTTAATTTACCTCCTGGAAAAAACATGCTATATGTAACCTGTTGCTATTGACTATGCACAATATTGATTATCTCCCCTTGAATGATTATTTCAACGATTTCTTGTAGTAAAGATATATGTATGTTTATAGATAGCATAAATGAATGTAACCTGTATTCATTTTTAATGATTAAATAATGATGTAATATTACATCTAGGGTTTATATTCCAGCAATAACATGGATGTAAAAGTATAAAACAGACTTATATAGATCCTTGAAAAAAAGTATTTAAGATATACATGTATTTTATGTGACAGGAGCCATATTCAGTGCTGTTGGAACATTAGAAGTTGTATCTCATCTTTTGTCTAACATCATCACTAGTTCTGTCTACGCCGAGACTGTGTCCTACATGCGGGGACTCGTGTTCCTCGTGCTGGGAGGATTCGATGCCGTCTGCGTTATTCTAACGATGTAAGTAACACAAACTGTATTAATATTGTCAGATAAAAAACCCAAAATGTCGCATTACACCATAAATTACAACAGCCAGTGACTTAAAAACGCAAAGTTGTACATTTGAAAATTTACAATAAATAATACCGTAATGATGACGATGATGATGGTGATGATGATGATGATGACGATGATGATGACATTGCTACTTCTGCTGCTGCTGTTGATGACGATCATGATCATGAAAATTATCATGCAATAATTGTTATTACAATAATGATAAAGATTACAATTAAAATGCATTGATTTTCCTAATCCGTAACTTTTAATCTAAGATTATAACAAATAAACTTGTCTTTGTTACAGTGTTCTGAAGATAGGATGGCAAATAGAGAAAAAGACAAACGGAAATCAAATAACTTCACGTACAGAAATTATTGTTTCAGTACCGGAGTCCGACGACCAGAAAGTATAGTGTACATGACATTCTGTGTATATCATTTATCATTTGATCTCTTACAGTATCATTTACATGTATATATTTTTAATATCTCCATGATTTATATAGCAAAACAATGACACTTTCAGAACCTTTACAAACATTTATCTTAAAGGCTATGTTAGATATCTAACAGCCTGATACTTTCTGTGATATTTATATTTCTTCTGCCTTGACAATAATTTGTCTTTGAAAAGAATAATAACTTTGATACAGAAGCTTTCTTTTCTGTTTTACGATAAAAGCTTTTGGAATAAAGTTTGTACATCTTTATCAAATATACATCTATGTTAATGTTTTCGCATTCAAGTAAATGATTTAACTGATTTCACAATTATATGATAGGAAGCTATATTTATGGTAAATATAAATTTTTCGATTGGCTACGGTTGACATCACTCAAATGCAGAACATGGCCGTTTTGTTACAACGTTGTTTTGTTACAGAAATGTATTTCCTATGCGAGAATTCCATCAACAGATATATTGGTATAGATAAAATATTTTAATACAATTTATATATTGTATACTGAAACTGAAACCGAAACTGAAACTGTTCTATTTAATTAAACGCCTATTTCAATATACATATTCAATGGCGTTGTACAAAAGGATAATAAAAGTATGTACATATAGATAAAAAAACAACACATATGCATGGCAAATGAACTACAAAAAAATATGTTAAAGATATCAGCCGTGTAAAATATAAAGTATTAAAAACTTTAAAAAAAGAAAGAATAGTTATAAAAAATAACAATAAAAAATAATTTAAAAGAAAATAAAAATTAATGGTTATTTCAGTAAAATTTCAAACACATTTCCACATCTCTATCAGTTTACAGCCCAATCACAATCTTAAAACAATGCGTAAAAATCTCTAAAATAGTAGGTTTTGACATTTTTCTTGAACATGTCCAAAGTCGAAGACTGTCTTATATACAGAGGCAAAGGAAACACCCGAAAAAAACAAACAACAGCAACAATTTATAAAACAACAACAACAACAATACGCTGATAAATATGATAGATAACTCATTCTGCAGACCGTTTACTCTTTGCTAATCAGTCATTATCATTTAGATCAGGGACGTAAAAAATGTTCGTAAGTCCTAGTATAGATGTAAAACGTGTTTGACACATGTCGCTCCCTTATCTTTAAACTAGAAACGTTTAAACCAAAACTTTATTTCATTTTGATTTTGCAATAGATATTCATATAATAATTCTTATATTTATAATTTACCTGATACTGCGCAGTGTCAGTCGATTAAAGATCTCTATATACATACCTTATCAGTAAATGAAGCAGCTTGTCTGATTATATCACGCTATAATGTCGCGAATCTCTGCACATATCACACCATGTGCCAGGAATCAATATCTTTTAAAGCCGACTTCGAATAACATGATTAGTCTAACATGTGCACGAAAAGAGGAAATGAATTTGAAACATCTAAAGTTTCTATTCTTTGAGATCTAAAGTTTCAATTCTTTGAGAGAAATAAAACCAGAACATATTAAGTTAGCATGAACGTCATTTAAAAGAAAGCCTTTAAGCTAAATGCATGTACTATTAGATTATGTCAATCTTGGAGCCTCAATGACAGCATCAGATAAGTATTTATATATGGAAGTTTTGTAGTTTATTCTTTTATTCCATTAGGCAATATGCCCATTAAAGGCATTACAAGCATGGTATAAATGGCGAACAATGACAAGCCAAAATTTACCTAAAACATCAATAATTGTAGAAGTGGAGAAGTTCGTATATGAATATTACTAACATAAGAACACGCACGCACGCACGCACGCACTCACGCACACACACATATACACACCACACACACACATATATGCGCAGATCATATTGAAATACATGCATTTGATATAATGTACATGTATAATCTAAGAATTATCATAGCTCTGATAAAGGCAAACACTTGAAGCAATTCCTGGTGGAATTCAAACAAAGTATCACACTGTTGGAATTGGAAATTGAAAAGGCCAAACTCAATAAAGTTGAACATTTTGTAGGCTGGGGATTAGGGCTTCCGTCTATATCGTCCTAATACCGGCTTAAGCAGAATGAAACATGTCAATTATGGTTCATATCACTTAGTAACGTTAAAGTCGATCTTAAGGTAACGTGTAACCAACGGTAAAAAGCCTTTTACTCTATCTTAATCCATTGAGAAGTTGCAGCACTTTAAAATAAGTTTTGATGGGAAACAAACACAATGAAAAATAGTGATTTTTGGCAATTTTGAGAGCCCCCATTGCCATGGTAACAGGAAGTTTAAGATTGAGCATGCTGCTACATTTTTGCCACGTTTCATCAGTATTGAAGCATTTTTCATAGTTTCATTGTTTGAACTTGTAAAGAAAACGGCCATTTTTCACAATATGCTCATGCAGTAAAAGGTTAAGCGAATTATATTACTTTTCTTTGTTCTTAAATTCTCATAATTTCGGAAATATGATTTTATGTTTTCAAGTCAAATTTCTATTTTTAAACTGTACAAGATTAATATCAAAGTTTAATCATTCAAGATTAAACTCTTTTATTTTACATGAATGACACATGTTCAGTTGTACTGCGTATCAATACGCATGCTCAGTCTGAGAGCTATATTTAGAACACTATATAAGGAGCTGCGCGAACCTGCTGCATCCTTTTCGTTCTGGATCTCTATGAGAAAGGTAGCTGCTGATCATATTTTAAAATTTTTGTTAAAATCTTAATCTAGGTTTTTAATTTTGGATGTAAATTGTAAAATTTTAATTATAATTTAAAACCTTAACTATCGAAGTGCTCTTTATATTTAAATCTAAAGTTATAAATCTCGCTTTTGATTGAATTTTAAATAAACGAAAATAGAAAATAACCACGTGGCCCTATTTATCCGAAAGGGACAATGCAGTTACAATTATTCCAAATTATAAATACATGTAGTTAAAAAGTAAGAAACGTTAACCATTGAATTGCTCTTTATATGTATATTTTTGTAAATCTTGCTTTTGATTGAATTTTAAATAAACGAAAAAAGAAAACAACCACGTGGGTCTATGTATCCGAAATGCAGTACTGTCATAACTATCTATCCTAATTTATCCTATTAACCAAATGCAGTTATAACTATTCCAAATTATCAATAGTAGGTCTATAAACATATATTATAAAACATGGCAAGGTTTTTAGGTTGTTTATAATAAGACATTTTGTTGTTTTTCTTGATCAAAATGCCCAAACGACGTGCGGACGAAACTGAGAGACTGGCCAGTGCTGTAAATGAGAAAAGACGATAGCACAGAGGACAACTGGCTCGAATCCGAATCAACGTCAAGAAGTTGTTCAAACTGATGACTTTCCCCCCAACTTCAGGTGAAGTAAACTTTCAATCTAACATTATTTTGTCTACCCAAGTTTCTCACTCTATTAAAGAGACAATACGGTGTAATAGTTATATAGAACTACAACATCTTCTTCCTAAAATTAAACCAGATTCTGCAAGAAAAACAAAAAATACATTTTTAAAATGGAGAGCTGATCCTATATCTTTTCATATATTCCATACTTTAATTATCGCTGTACATATTCTAAAGCATCCTATTTGCTACAATATATGGTAAACATACGACAGGCAGCAACCAGGCATATTGGTTGAGCCGCCTACGACTCGAGCTTTAGACTGACAAAATGATGATGTTAGCCATGAAACCAATTCAATCGGTTGGTCTTTCGAATACCCCCCCCCCCCATTCCCATTCTCGAAAAGTATTTTAGTCAAATATGCACAATTCGACGGAGCATGTATTATCATTGGTTCAACGTATAGTAAAATATGTCTGTTGCAAAACTGATAAAAAATCAGCTTTTAACTTGTGTCCTTTTAAATAATATGGCCAGGTGACTTAAATCTGACTTACCTGGTACATTATATTACCTGGTAAAAAAAAATAAATAAAAAAAAATGTTACCTCAGGGTTCCGCCTACCCCTGTTTCATTTTGAAAAAATTGTTTCTTTCTTAGATTGCCTTGTTTAAAAAATGATTTTTTATGGCAAACGTTACTTTTTGAATCCTGTTTAGATATTTAATGTATTCAAACACGTTTGTTTAGACCTTGGGATATCTCGATCTGCGCAGATCTGTTAAAAACTATCGATTACTCGGGGGTTGAAATAAATGCGGAGAATCAAACTATTCATGCACCCGCATAAAAGCCATAGACGAGCTTTTGCGGCTTATATCTTAAAAAATATATATCTTTGAAGGAAATTCAGTCTATAGCATGATTATTTAACTTTATCACAAAGACTATTCCTATTGGCAGAGCTTTCTAGCGAAGATTTTATGATTCTATGTCTAAGATTAAAAAATATTTTTAAATTGTTGTATTTTCTTCTTGTATAAGACTGATTTGCGATGTACAATGGCCTATCGGGTTCGAACCAGCAACCTTCGTCCAGAACACTCTTTATTATGCATTCATTGGAAAATAAATACGTTTACTTAGCGTACTCTATATATGGCATAGTTACTGTTATGACTAGCCTAAGGTGTAAGTCAAATTCCTTTTTGTTCATGGGTAACCGAAGTCACGGTTTATATAAACGAAATCAATGTACCCTGTCCTGCGAGCCTTGGCAAATTACATGCACGTGTTACTTCCGATCACTGTATTGATCACTGAACCTGATCACTCAGTACCCTCCTTGGGAGCCTATATGTTTCAACGTGATCCCTTCTTTCGATAACAGGAAGTAGACTTGTTATATACGGTTGGAGAATGGACGGCCTTTTTCGGACAATTTTAAAAGTTATATATAGATATTGATTTTTGGAAGTTGTTGTCTAATTTTGATTTGCTTATTTTACTTTTGATCAAAAACTTATAAAAAGTAATTTCCAAGAAAGAAATAAATATGATTGCTTTAATCAAAAATTAAAAACTCAAGTTCAATATCTAATGTATTGCTAAATGTTTTGGCATGGACCGGCACGGTATAACGTTAGGTATACTTGACGTAATAATTCGGGGATCTGTTTCCATTTATCATGTTCGGTTTCCGTCCTAACATTAAAATAACATGATGAAACATTGTAACTTTGCATCATTTAGATAGCCCTATATAATTAGTTGTCTGTTGGTACTGGAGGTATATATTAACAGAGTGGAACTAAAATCAATGTCATGTTGCATGTTAGGTAACACTTATCTTCTTCTAGGTTTGTCTGCCAATACCGTAAAAGAATTAATCATTCATTGTGTCTTACAGCTGT